CTTGAACAAAATCTAGGAAAAAAAAAAACCAAACAAACCACCACAAACAAATGAGAAGGGGCTTGTTCTTTTATAAGGCAAGGTCCCCTGTGAAACCTGCTCTTGGATAAAGAGCTTTTCCTTCAATAATTTGCCATCCTCCAAAAAAAGAGCAGCTGAGTCATGGAAGACTTTGTGGTCTAACGCCACAGGAAAAACAAGGTTTGCAGGTGAGCTATTACATGTGACACCAGTAATAACGTGGGTGGGGCAGGGGAAGAGAACCTTTTCTTTCTTTTAAAGTTCTCTTTTGGAGTTGAAACAGAAGACTGACTTCAAAGGAAGGTGCAAAATAATATTCAAGTAAACCCTCTCTATTGTTATGTGTATTGTAATACACACACCTCTGTGTTTGTCAGTGCTTACATCGCTGTACACAGTTGCCAGCCCCAAACACTTCATATCCAGTCAACTTAGGGATGAGAGAGTGCCTTTCACATCAGGTCGTGCCCCAACAAGAGGGGTTTTCTCTCTCTAACCTCTGAATGGGCTGCCCCTCCTGCAATTCATCTTGTGTACCCACACAGCTGTCTTTGACCAGAGGGAATTTCCCTGGGCTTGTGCAGGGTCCACTTGGAACACTCCATGCAGCTATTTGCTTGGAAGCCTCAGCAATTAGCACCACTCTGGAATTTCTGTTTACACAACTGTAATACCTGCGTCTCCTCCAGGAGATAAGGCAACACAGAAATTACCTGGACAAAATACAGAGAAAGTGAAAGTTGAAGTAAATCAGGCAGCTACACTGAAAACCTCCTAAAGCTTGTCAAAGTAATTTTATATTGGATTACTTTGATGCACTCTGTTGTGCCTACAAAGTTACCAGCCAGCTTGTTTTACTCCCAGATAAAATCTTGTTTGATTTTCTGCCAGAATCAGTGTTCTTTCAACACAGTTTCAGCTGCTGGTAGAAGGTATTTTTCTTCTCCAGTTTCATAACCAAACAGACTTGTCTCCATAGTAAACATGTTGTTTTATAGACATGCAGCACATGCATAGAGCCCACGTGTTTAACAAAGTCAAACAAACATTGCAAACATGTTATATTTTCATAAAAACACTTCTGTTTACTAATGACTACTAATAATTATCCTTGGTCAGATTTGAGCTTTTTTTTTTCCTTTTCTCATTGCACATATGCTTTGATAAGATTTATAATTAAAACAAAACAGAAAGACAACATCAAAAATAGCAACAGATTACATTCCTGGATCAACATGATGATAAATAAAATAAGATTAAAGCACACCACTGCAGAAGCACGTTGATGGTAAACTTCACACAGATGGTTTATATATATATGTACATATAAACACACTGCTTGTTTCACTCTGTCTTCAAAATAATCTCCTTGGAAAGTATATACTGTAATAATCATGATTTGTTTGTTTGTTGTTTAGTCCGGGAAGCTTCTTCAAATCTAGGGAGTAACACAGTTTTCATTTCTTCTTCAAATACCTACTGCCACAATAACAGTTCTTTCTAATTAAAACTAGGATATGACCTTTTCCCAAAAGCAAATGGGAGTATAAAGCATTTAAACAAGAAGTCAGAGAATGAGCAAAGAAGTCAAAGGCCAAAAACATACCTAATTCACAACAATATATGCCAGGATCAAAATTCATTTCCACATCCCATTACCATTCTACTGAAGGAGTCCACAAAGGACTACAGCTCTCCTTCCCTCCCACACAATCAGTTTGTATGCAAAACCTCTGCACAACTGAAAAGCAAGGGGCCCTGGTCACATCTGATGGTTGCTCTTCATAAATAAATCTCCTCTTCAAGTTGTCTCTTAAAAAGTGACAAATCTTTTGCCTTATGATGTATCTGATATATCATTATTTTTTCTTCTACTGGAAAACAAGCAAACATTTTGCCACAAATTTACAATAGTCCAAACAGGAAAAACTTGGTTTCTACTAGAAAAATATGTAATCCTGATGGAAACATACATTCAAGCACACACTGAAAACAGAGATTCTGTGTTAGAACCACTTCTAAAAAGAGGGACACATTTTATGAGAAATGAGGGTTTCTGCAAGCGCAAGACTGATTTACATCAAAGGTTTGGCTTCATGGTGAACTCTGCTCAGGGTGAGAACATGGACTTTTCCATATCTCTTTCCAGAAACCAAAATACAGAACCTCACTTCGTTAAAATCCTCCTGGTAGCACCAACAAAAAGGTAATTTCTTCCTGTTCCTAAAATGCAGGAGAATCAACCCAATTGCTTCTAGAATTATGAGACACAGCAGACGCTACTTTTCTCTGTGTGGAATGGAAGCATGAGGAATCACAAGTTTGAGTAACAGGAGACAAGACTCGTAATCCTCTCTCACATGTTACTTTTGGCTATGCTAACTGCCTATATCAAGCACTTGAGTTCACGTCTCTCACAATGTAGGAATTAGTAACTACAAGAAAGATCTGAATTTCAATGCTGAGACATGCTGTGTTTCTTTTGCAAGGGACCACAGGATCCCAGAGTTCACAGTGTCTCACCTCTTCAGGCCCAGTACCAGTCCAAGACACAGGTGCTGTTTTACAAATTCCCCTAAGAGGCATTTAAGCTATTTAAAAAATTGTGACTGCACATTTGATCTACATTTTGTAACTTCACAAACCTTTCACTTCTACTGAGGCAAATTCTACAAATGACATTATTCTGGGATCATACTAAATCAGCATCCCAGTTTTCCAAACAGTTCTTCTGCCTGATCGGACGTTATCTCTATTTATAACATAAGTGCCTATGAATAAAACAAAAACTACAAACTACACCCTTATGAGGTAAAGTCATCTTTCTCCTCCTCTTTTCCTTGCATAAAATGCCATCCAGTATGCTTAGATACATAGTTTATTTTAGTCTTCAACAACAACAAAATTAATTTGTTTCAGTAGCAACTACTGAGACAGTAAAGTTACAATTATTTTTTTCCTCTCCTCCAATCATTCCCTCCAGAACACGCTACTATACGCTGAGCAAGTCAAGGAAAGTATTCCTAAGTAAATCCACAAGAAATGCTTCGACATTTATCTGAGACAAATAATTTGAAGGTACAGGAAAAACAAAGAACTAAGTTTGTGATCACTGGTTATTTTTGCATTTAGAAGCACGCGCACACTAGGATTTGAACTCTTTTTCTTTCAAAGGAAGCAAGAAACAATATATTTCAGCACAGAATTCATAGTTCTTCACAAAAGAGTTTCTTATATAAGAGTAAAGAGACAGCAGACACAGTTGAACTGCTAACGTTCATAAGCTGAATATTGACAGAAATTTTACAAAATAAATATTATGAAAAATATTTAATTTGACTGTGCAAGTGCTTCAAGTGAGAGAAAAACAAAAATCAACATACATAGTACATACAAGAACTGAACTGGGAATTTCAGGCTGGGAAAACTGAGACAAATTACCAGTGAATGCACAGGAGTTCCATGAAGATTGAGAAAACTTACTTCACAATATTTTCCTATGTTCAAGTGAGTAGCAAAGAATTCTTTACTCAGTAACACATATAAACTGTTTCTATAATAGCCACAGATTTAGTTTTCAACTTCATAAAATGAATTTAATTCACTTTAAGGTTTATCTACTTTGAGAACCAAGAAGTGTTTCCTTTCTTTTTCAAAAACAGAGCTATTCAGCAAAATTACACCACGAATTACTGTGAGACTTAACATCTCTTAAGAAAGAAGAGCAGCCTGGGCTAGTGGTTGGTGACCCTGCACATAGTGATGGGGTTGAAACTAAATGATCTTTGAGGTCCTTTTCAATCTAGGCCATTCTATGATTCTATGAAAAAAGGTTAAAGAATCTTCAAGGATTCCAGTAACATATTTCAACAGGATAGTACTATGCCAGTAAGAAAACAAAAATATTTTTGAGCAGTAATGGTTATCACAGCAGCCTTCTTCCGTAGCTATAAGAGACACAAAGAATTTCCTCTCTGTAATTGTTCAAACTCTGTTAGTTTTCTGTCCCTGCAAATCTATCACCCTTCCTTCTAGCAACTGTCAGAATTGTTTTTCTTGCACCAGAAGTTAGAGATTAGGATACGCAAAGGAAAGATTTTCTGTGCTCCTCCACAGCAGGTAATTAACATACCTTTGTGTCATAAATCCCTTCTGAAAATAAAATAGCCACATGTTGCACATTGGGGTGTGGCAGGGCTATAATCACTTCTGCCAAGTATGCAAGACTTTCTGCAAGTCTGTAGACAAGCACAAAACATTACTTCACTATTTAAACACACAGCATGCCAACATCACCAGTTACTGGTTTAGTTTCCGTGTTTGATAAACTCTGTTTTTTGCATAGGTAAAAAGATCCTATAGCTACTGGCCACCTCCCAGAATGAGACCATCGTAGCAGTATAGCAGTATCTACCAAAGCAAATAAACCAAGTAGGAGTATTTTCCACTTGTTGCTCTCCTCTATTTTCCAGCCTCCTGTTTGTAGAGGCAAAAAATGCACATGGATGTTTATGTGATAAAGAGCAGCCACATCTTGCAAAGATCCAAACCCTGAGCCTGTTGCATATTTCAGTTTTCATGACTCAACTCTGACATTCCAAAGGAATACAAGTCCTTCCTGAACAATATGCACCTCACAATACTTAGTACATGCTCACAATAGAAACTGTGAGATATGAAGGTTGGAAGAATTTCTACATCCTTCAATTCTTCTAAACACAGTTGAGCACAATCATCTCAAAAGGAGATGGAAGTGCTGCCTCTATGCAAGTAAAAATTATTTCAAATAACAGTTATCTCCTCCTGTATGAATCCACATAAATGGGATTCAATAAAAGGTGAATGTTCATAGCAAGAAGCTTCTTATATCCCACCTGTCATCACATCCCCTCTAGGTTGGAAAAGGCTCCATGTCAATTTATCTTCTGTTTTCCTACAGAAAGGGAACAGAATCCACAACATAAGGAAGGCTGACTTACAATGAGTGGGCAGTCCCTCATAGCTGACCGTGTAGAATAAAAATCTCTTCTTTTAGAGTGGTAGAAGTCCAAGCAATTCCATTAGGCAACACCTGAGAAGCTCATGTGAGTCTGCTGCTGGATCTGAAAATAAACATACCAGATTTAAAATAAACTTCCTGCTACTTTGTCCTCCCATACCTGAAAAGTATGAGGGAGCTAGGGAGTATGATCTATGAATATCTGGAAACCTTTTTACTCTCCTGTTTCCCCCTATTGCTGTTAATTAAAACCTTTCCCTAAAACACAACACCTACAACCACATCTTCCTCTCCTGACAGGTATACACTAGAAGTTCAAGTTAGCAAAATTCTCCTACAACTAAGCAACCAAGTCTACTAATACACTACCTGACTAATATATTTGCAACAGAAATCTTTCTTGTCCAAAGGGCCCAGAATTCTGCACAACAGATGCAACTCTGCTTAGGGCCTGGTAAACTTGCTTTCATACATCTTGTCAGCACAAAGAAGAAAAAGAATCCCGCATGGGAGGAGATGCTGGGGGTTACTACCATCTTTGACAAAACCTCACCATTATTCAGCCACTGCTTTCTAGCAACCAACACACAGTTTTGTATTTAGATGCACTTTTTCTGAAGACGTTCCAATTTTGCAGTTTTCACTGTAACAATTCTCTGTACAAAATCAACACTGCCAATCAGAAAAGGCTTATGACAAAAGCTATGTATGTGCTCAATTTGAGCTAAAAAGATCAATATTTTAACCCGTTTCTACAATCATAGACTGTACAGGTCTTCATTCTGAGTATTTCAATTCCTGTTGAACAAAGTCAGCTCCCTAACAGTCTGATGATAATCTCCCCAGAACTTTATCATCAGCAGAAGGCAAACTCATGTCTGGGCACCACATAGCATTTACTGTTTACAAAAGCTAGTGTATCCTTAAGTTTCCTAGAGCGCTTTGATGCTTTCCTGACCTTTCTTCAAGATCAACAGGAAAGAACAGAATTCCTCAAATTTCATGTGCCCTTGATTCAAAACTGTTATCCACTATGTATGTTTGTTTTATATATACATATAGCTATAAAGCTATATATATATATATAAAAAAACTTTTAAACTCATAGTATAACATAAGTTAACATGCTATTTCTACATGCTGTGAATAGACTTCTTTTCAGCAGCAGAACTAAATTATTTTGCATTTGCTGAGTTAGTGGCATTACTGCCTTCATTTAGTGTTATTCTTAAAATATTGGCCTGTTTTCCAAAGAATAAGAAAACAAATCCTTTTCCCTGTTTTTAGCTCACTGAGCTTTGAGTAAAGCCGCTTACCATCTTTTACCAATTGTCTATATTTAATAACTCCTAATTTCATGTTTACACTGAATTCCTCACTTCTTCTGTTTGTTACACTCCTAGAAATGCCACCACCACCCCCAGCTGGTTTGAAATCTAAACATCTGCTATCTAATTTTAGGATTTGATCTTTTGATGTATGAGCTCGTGTATCAAAATATTAAGGCTGGAAAAACTGCGTTAACCATGATATTTCATATTAATTCAAAGTTATTTCATTTGTGCTGCCTTTTAAGATTGGTGACTTAAAATAGCTATTAATGCAATAGTCCATTGACATTTTTAGCTTGTAGGAGCCTGCAGTGGGCAGAGGCAGCTGAAATAATAACATATTTGAGCGATGAACCAGCTTTACGATTTTATTAGTCAGACTTTCCCAAATCTATGGCTGGCATCTTTCCCAGTATCTCAAAAATTAAGCCACTTCACATTAAAACTTCCAACCAGTCCCTCATTATAAACTTCTTATGTTCAAGGCAATAGAACAACTTCCATGATAAGCCCCTACAAATAAACACAAATACCTAGCTTTGATAAACAGGGCCTTTAACTTATTGAGTTGATGATATGAACAAAGTAAGAAAAATAGAAGGAATAATCTGATATAGATTAGTCTGAGAAAATGACGTTACTCATCAGGAATATAGTACACATCACACCGAAATAGCAGGACCCTAAAGTGAACCAACAAGGTCAGAAGTACGCAGCAATCCCAAAGGGTCACAGGAAAAGAAAGCCAAGAGTTACGCAGAACATTACCTACAGCTCTCCACTTTCTTTTGTAGCCCCTTGTGCAAGAGTTTTGGCCTTGCCTTTACAACTGCAGAATTTGTGATCTACATGCCACATAGGACAAGCCCAGCATAGGGGCATTCACCTTGAACAATGTTCCCACAGGTACCTGAGAAGTCCATCAGGGAACAGAGGCATTTCGGAATGTCTGCAAATAAAATGCACTTCTTTGGGGGGGCAAGGAGGAGAACGTAGCATAGCATAAAACATCACCTCCTCTACTCCTAGGAGATAAAGCTCAGATTCTAAATCTGGAGGACAAAAGCAGTAGTTCTTTGATCATGCAGATATCTATATAACTCCAGTCATTTCATAATTCATCTAGTGAACAGGCCAACAGGTAATAAGTTATTCTCATTAAAAAAAAAATTTGTTGCTGAGTATTTTGCAATATAGGTGCACACTTCCTAAAATCATCTGGGAAATCCAGACCAGATAACCTGCAACACTTCACAGCCTGTTGGTCCATCTATGGTTTAAATTTTTTTGTAATTTTAAAAGAAAAAAAAACAATCCCCACTTGCAGAGACCCAACCTAAAACTTCTCACTATAACTTTCACAGACATTAGAACAAGCAGAGTGTGATACATTGGAATAGAATGACAAAAGGAAGACCAAACATGACTCTCAGAGGGGAGCTACAGCTCATGTGAGCATCATAGAAAGATGTTCATTTTATGCAGAACAAAGGAAATCAACTATCTGGCACCTAAGGAAATACAAAAAAAAAAAAAAAAAAAAAAAAAAAGTAGTAGTTGATTTTTTCACAGCACCACAATTCATTCAGCTGTTTTATGTAGCTTATCTAGTATTGGTACACTACATCTCTAAGTATTTCTGGAAAAGCCTGTTTTCCTTTCTGGAAAACAAACGAACACCAAACCTGGCAATTAGATATCAATTGGTGGAAACGTGCAGCGGGCAGAACAAGGCCCTTCAGGAGTGATTGGCCAATTCTCTCACCTTCTCAATGTTTGCCATTTGTTCCTGCTGCAATTGCTGGTCAAGCCAGTAGCAACATGACTGGAATGAGATTGGGAAATAAATCCAAGTAACTCAAGTAATTGAGTTAATAATCTCAGACAGGAAAAAAGCCAGATTTCTAGCCACACTGTTAGTTGAACCAGCTCATTGCATGGATGCCAATACTCATGGAAGAAAAAGAACAAACCAAGCAGCTGCACAAAGGAACACAGAGAGCAGCTACCCCATTTTTGGAAGCAGCATGAAATTATGCTGATTGACACTGAAAATGGAACTGAGAACAAAGTAGCAGTCAGAAAGCAAGCATCTTGCCAGAATCAGCAATAAGCATGGCTTCTAAACTCAGTTCAATGCATGTGAGCAAAAGCCATCAGTAATGCCAGGTCTGACTGAAACCACACATTAACATCTTACAGTTTGCATAATAGATAAGCCAGTTACAAATGCCATTATGTGGTGCTAGCTTTAATTGCTCCAAGCTAAATACAATTTGGAATCTAATAGCTCCCCCTCAGCTCTTCTGTCTCTCAGGAAGAAAAAAAAATTCAAGTTAGTAAAAGCAAACAGGTATATCCAATTGCGCATCATCACAGAGAAAAGGAAGCAAACCACTGAGACAATTAAGTTGTCTCAAATACTCATGCCGCACTCCTGGTTGCAGTAGGCTGCCGTTTGCTCTCGTCTTCCACCAACCACCTTGGTTCCAATTACAGCCAGCGAGTGAAGCACACATACCTGCTCCTGTCCAAGCACTGCCATTTCTCTGCTCTATTAGCAGGCTGTACTGAATCCCACTTGCCCGATGCTTCCAGTCAAGCTACTGCCCTGGTACCCACATGCTTTTCTCTGTGTACCTCCTGGCTCAGCAGCACAGGGGAAGAAGACGAGGGCAAGTGTCCTCCTGCACACGTGTGCAGCTTGATCCTCACCTGCTGCTTTTGTATTGGCATTACATATATGAGGAGTCCAAAGTCTGATACAGCAGGAGAGACTACACCACCCTGATAAAGCCACGAAACAAGTTATTCTGCCTTCTTGCACCAAATCACCAAATCAGAATTTCGAAAAACTTAAATGCAAAGTTCCATGCAATGGGCTTTAATTTCCCTCTCTGAGCTGATAAAGGCAGAAAATTCAGCTGACAACTAGAAATACATACTACAGATTCAGCATTTTTGTTAACCAGCATTATAAGTCATTATGTAACTGAAGTTCCCCACTTTTTCTACTGTTCAAGGCTGGGGGGGGGGGGGTGGGGAGGAAAGGGGGGGCGGACGGACATAGATCATTGCTGTAATGAGACAGCAGACTTCCCACTGACTGCAACACCCTTTCTACACCCCCCTCCTCACTGTGCCATCACCTGACTTTTCCTCTCCTCCATCTACTTTTCCTCTCTGGCTTTATCTATCCTCTGCCCATTTTACTGAGGTGAGGTCTTAATTTAAAAAAGCAAACAAACGAACAACCGTCCTCCCTTCCCCCTCCCAAAAAAACCAACCCTATTTTTAAGAATTCTTGTTGACTTCACCCCTTGTCTGTGGTGCATGCAGACAAGAATGTTGCTATTTATGGAAAAAAAGTATTCATCAGACCGTAAGAATTACTGAATCTGGCATTAGAGATGAAAAGAGGGGCCAGCTGACTCCAGCCCTGCTTGCCTTGTAGAGCTGAGCACACGTTGTAGGAGCACAGCTCGAGGTCTGCCAGGAGGAACCTCTTGCACTGAACAAGCCCAAAGCCAGTATCCCACACTTCCCGTCCCCTGCCCTACCACTTTCTGAGACAAGGAGCAGGCTGGATAGACCAGGTTAAAGGAACTCTGTGTATTTGTTGTCTATTGTGAGAAATGTTAAAGCAAGCCTCCTGACATGTGCTGTTTTACATTAGAACATCCACGCTCTCCTGCTAGCAGAGCTGACACAGAGCAGGAGAAGGAAGGCTCCCTGCTGTCAGTGCAGAGACAGCCTTCTTCCATCCACTTCT